GAAGAAAACGGTAACTGGTCACTAGTTCCAGTTACTAGGAACGGTAACTGGTCACTAGTTCCAGTTACTAGGAACGGTAACTGGAACTGTCCCACCTCTAGTTTTTTCCTATGGTATAATACTTTACTGTCTCTGAATTCCTTAGGCTCAAGCTTTAAAATTGAAAACACGACGCTGCACCATTGAAATTATGAGGATACTTTCTCTTTCCTCCTCCTTCAATCATCTCAATCTCTCAAATTGCAATCCTTCCATCCTCTCTGAAATATATGTGACTCGACTTCAACCTTTCAATCCTCTGTGAGACTGAGTGCGACCACACTTTGCGGCGAGGCGGAAGTTTTCATGTCGTCGTGGTTGAAGACTGTGGATATTCATAGGTGATGATGAGCCACCCTAATCCACCGCCAAAAACCATTATTTGTCTGTAAGCTACGGATTTCTTTTAGAGGATAGACAGTTTAAGAAATAACAAAAACTGATGTGAATAATTTTTAATCCCGATAAAGTGTTTAAAAATGAAAGAAACATTTTGACAAACGAAACTCTACCCTATATCCGCTAGTAGAAGCTGACCGAAGGGAAGCTGTTGCCATCTTTCTTTTAACTTGTCGGAACCAAATTTCTTCAGTCAATGGTGGAGTGAATCAAGATGTACGTTACTTGTGTCGTAAAGCACAAGAAAAAGGAAATGTTCAATGAAAGCTTATTTTTGTTCTTTCTTTCAGTAACGTTAGTGTTAAAAATATATCACTATTGTCAATCATTAATTCTTCTTTATTGCAAGAACAGAAGCCATTTAATACAATAAAAGATATAAATGAAAGGCTTAAGGATGGTCTGTCACTCAACTTTTCTACTAATCTGTAGAGGATAGTTTGAAATACATATGGTAAAATGTTTTCGGTCACCGGACTTGTAGTTTTTGAGAAAACTTTTTAGAGCTTTTCATCGATTCATTAATGGAACGGCTGAGGCACCAGCAACAAAGCCACCACCGTGTATAAATATCATTACAGTTAATGCTTGATCACATTTTCTTTTCGGACGATAAATATTAAGTGATAAACAATCTTCACTTATTGTTTCGGGACATGCACCTATTGGTAGAACACAGTTTTGAATACAACCATGTCCTGGTTTAATTGCCTGAAATATTTCATTCTTCTGTCCTTCTTCTGTTTTAAATGGTTGTGGAACTTGAAATCTTAAAGCTCCCGTAGGGGGTTTAGCATATGGTATACCCCAAAATACTTCTGCATATTCATTACGAAACCCTTGTATACACCCATTACTTGTAGTATGAATTATTTCTGTTTTTTCTTGTGTGGAGTCAATTGTGGACGAAACAAATAATAATATTAAAAGTTTTAGTTGTTTCTCCATGATTTTAGTAGAATTCAGTGTGTATAAACTTCAAACACAAAAGCTTAACCTCTATATGGACGAACGCAATCGATTATTAAATATTATGCCAAATGGTCGATAAGTAATTGTAAAGTAATTTCTCTGATTTTAACAAATTAAATTAACATATCGAAGATTCGTTTTTCTGTTTCCGTTTGTTGTCAACTAAAACGAACTGTATTTAGGACAAATATCCAAACAAAAGAAAGTGAAACTTATGTTACTGGTTTTTGGAAGCAGAGTGATCTTCCGATCCTTTCATGTCAATTCTATATATGTAACATACTTCAATTTTTAACCGAAAACGCGCAGTGTGTGTGTGTATAATATATGTATCAAGGTGTGACTATGTATGTGTTTGTATGTATAGGTAAATACCCCACATAGGAAACACAAATCACTTATGAAAAGTAATTATTTTCTGAAAAAAAATGGTCCTACGACTAAGAGAATATCTTTCTCAAATAACGTTGAACACATCTAATGGACTCCGATATTGAAATCGGATCTAATGGAAGGGTGGATTCATATGGTAATGTTGAACTGTCGCGGTTCAGTAATATTATCTTTATTCAGGATTGGCTGTAACACCTCTCGCCAATAGTCTTCCCTAGCTTGTCGATGTTCTAAACCTTG